AGGAAAAAAGGGACAAGAGGAAATGTATTGGGGAACACTTTTAATCCAAGTTTGGTTGAAGTGCTGACAGAACTGGTTTAAAAGGTTCTTTTTGAATATCAAGGCTCCAGTTTAGTCGATCCTATTACCATGACTTCAGTTACATGTAGGAGATATGAATGAACTGTGAGTGATAATGACAACAGAGTGTGATATAAAACCCTGAAGGCTATGTCAGCATAAGTGGCATATCCCTGTATCCATCAAGTTTGACAGAAGTGAACTTTTAATGCATTTGATTTCCTTCTTACTAAATCAAGCTGGTAAATGTTCTTCAATCCGTTTAAAATCCTGTCCATTTGTATGCCCTGAACCACAGGAATAGTTAAAATGGCATATGCATGAAGAACAGCTAAGACTGAGTAAGGCATCTTTCAGTTTCTGAGTGAACATTGGTGAACAGCTACTGAGGTGCAGAGTAGAAAGTTTTTTTTAACGCTTTGGTTAGGTTATGGTAAAGAATCTCCGTAGGATTATCTCCCTTGAACCGAAGACAGACAAATAACGATTGTTTTGTCCAGCATTGTTAGTTCATGTTAGCGGTTATTACAATTTAATATTATTAAAATGTATTACAAGTGATATCATCCTTTTTCTTACTTCAACCTATTTCATTTCACGTACTGGTCTCACTGTATATATTTCCTCTTTAATGCATGTTATTGCGTACTAGCCACTCAGTTGACACATTTTACAACCTCGAACTGACTTGTTAACGTGGACTACTTCAAACTGTATAAATCTATGACGATTTATCACAGTCATGATCTTGCATTTCCCAAAATGTTTTTAAAGGTGAATTCAGACTAGCATATTTGGCACATAAATGGTGTCTATTTTGTCACTAGATAATACCTAATACTCATAATAATTAGAGTAGTAATAGTTATTATCATTGATTTTACTAATAATATTTTTCAATTTAACACAAGAAAATAGTGAGATTTGTGAATGAAATAATTCCATTATGGGTAAAATTTATTCTGATAAAGTCACACACACACACTTATACAATAATATTTACTGATGACCAAGTTTCAAGCACAACTTATTACTGCTCATAATCATATCAAGGTACTCACATAACTTTCTGACTTCATAAATTTCTATAATTCCATTATTTCTCATCTCTCGGCCTGATTGGTAATAATATTTTCCATATCTCTGGTATTGGTAATGAGTTATCCCTTTTGAATATGTCGGGCATAAATTCGATGAACAAATATTCAGTAGTCAGCCCTCCCCCTCCTTCCAATTAGCTTTATTACTTTTAAGAATTATAACTCTCTCCCTTCCCTAATGGGTGGTTGTGGGTTAGTGTGTGCAACATTGACCCTAGCTAAGTTCTTATGTTCTGATAATCTGACTTCCCCCGACCTACTACTGGTTTGACTGATGCAGTTGACCTCACTCACAGTCATCGCAAGGCATTTTGTAAATTATATTATTTTGTGTCTAATTGGGTCAACTGGGTCCTTTAACCTACAGAACGTGTCTTACCTGGATGAGTTTTTGTAGGTTTAGATGCCACCAGCCTAATTCCTGCTTTATTGAGAATCCTACGTAGGGCCTCAAATGTACCCTGTTTATATGGTATAACTGTAGATGACTTATATTCTCTCTTATTTATATCATCATTATTAGATTCTCGACTATTTTCATTTTGACCTTATCTCACCTTTTTATAGGATAGTAATATGATAGCACAGTGAATCGACCCTTTCATCGTTCATCTTTCTGTATTTTACGGTGTCACACTTTCTATCGTTTAATTATTACTCTGCTATTTTATTTTAGTTGGTATTACTACTGTTACTACAATTTTGTACTTTATGCATATTTTTCACCGTATGGCATACAGTATTTTGCTATGTAGCTGCTATAACAATCGTTTTATTACTATTATGTAATGTGTGTTTTTAATTTTTTTGTCGTTTTTGAGTAAATTAGATGCAATATTGTACTGAATGCTGAAAAATCCTTGCTGTATCATTAGTACTGTTTTTGGAATAAAGCAAAAATTATTATTATTATTACCAATGCTTCTTCTATCTGTTTTATTTCATCATTTAGGTCTTTTCTTGTGCTACTTAATGTTGTTATTACCTGGTGTGTTAGACACTTAACTAAGTCTGCCTTCACAGATAAATGATGAGATGAATTAGACTTTAATTCATCTTCCCCCGGTACAAACAACAGGAGTGACTCATCACCAATACCCGAGATATAGAAAAATACTACTACCAATCAAATCAAGTGATGGAAAATAATGGAATTATATAAACGAAGTTAGAAAGTTGTATGAGTACCTTGATATGATTATGAGTGAGCAATAAATTGTACTTGAATAGTGATCATCAGCAAATATTATTGTATAACGCTGTGTGACTTTATCAAAATAAACTTCACCCAAAATGGAATTATACTCCACCACCACCACCACAGTGCGCACAAGTTTTGTTCTTGTATTCAACGGAACGAGATAATTATAATAAATTGGGTTTTATTGTGTTTCCCAGTGAATGAAAAACAAAATGATATTGTTGTTTTTACTGATGTTTCGCTATTTAATGCTGCTGCTAGTAGCTTTATCAAAGTATTATTAAACCGGAGGTTACAAAATCTCAGGTTATATATAACGTCAGTAAAAACAACAATATCGTTTGTTTTTCATTCATTGGGAAATACAAGAAAACTTTCATTATAATGAATATCATATACGCAATGCGTAAATTTTTTCAAACTGTTAAAAGTGAACTTGGTTTGGACATATAGAAACGAGATAGTTATTTGCTTCAATTTTGACTTAAAAATTCGCAAATTCGTACTGAGTGGTGAATACTGACCACACACGGGGGCGTACAGACAATAGAAACAGGATTACGAGTGAAGCATAGTTGTGTAGTATGTAAAATAGTTCATAAAACTGAGTCTTGGGCTATCAACTGGCTGCACTCTTACTTCTCTCATAGGATGCAGTACACGGTATATAGTGGTGTATCTTACTCTCCTTTTTCCTTCTGAAGCCGGAGTTCCTCAGGGTGCTGTTCTCTCGCCGTTTCTCTTTTCCTTATTCTAACATGACCTACCTCTTTCAGACGAAATCAACTTCGTCAAATATGCAGATGGTCTGACTGTTTCGCTTCCTGTTATGTCTCAGTCAGACTGTTTCAAATTAAATAGCTTCCTGTTGGAAATCAGTCAGTGGTCTAAAGTAAATGGCCTCATGCTGAATCCCTCAAAATGCCAGACTACTGACTTATCCTTTAGTCATAAATGATATCTACAAACACTAGTAAGTACTCATGAAGCCTGTAGCATTGAGGGGACTAAAATTGAAACTAAGTCTAACGCAAAATACCTCGGACTAGTTCTACCTTCCAACCTTACATGGTCATCCCATATCCAAACGATTTCTAAGAAAGTGTTCCGTCTAACCTACTACAATGGGAAACTCAGACTCTGGAATCACCCAATCTCTACTATCACAATTTGTCAACTCTCGTATCTTACCTAGTCTACTTAACTGCTCCCCATTAGTCTTTCCTGGGTTACTGAAAAAACCATCCTGAGAAGGATGTTGAAGGTGGTTAGCAGGACTAGTGGTGTAAAACTCAGTCAGCTCGTCACTACATTAGGAGAAAGCCATCTGAATACATGCGAAAAATGGTCTAAAATCATACTTTCCGACCCTCAACACCCCCTCTGTTCCCAACTCTCTCCTTGCATCTCATCAGGTAGAACCAGAAATCAGTACAAAATAATATATGCTCGTACAACCAAGTATAGGAACTCAACGATACCATATTTAGCCAGCCCGTGTTCTAAGTGACAGAGACAATGTTAAGCGCGAAGCCTATGACTTGCTTTGTTGTTAATAACATAATTTTGGCTCTTTCATTTCTCTCTTATTTGTATTCTATAGTGACCTTCTTAAACATACTTAGCTACCTAAAATTATTGTCATTGGCTTACTTTTTTTTGTACTTCACTCTATTTCTTCTTTTATGTATCTACTGGTCCCGACTATATTATCACTATGAGTATTACAAAATTGTCCTGTCATTAACCATCATGTAATATTAGTTTTGTTTCGGCAATATTAAACTGACAATCTTGGTTGTGAACGCTGTTATCACCATCTTAAAATTTTATATCATGCATGATTACTCACACTAACACAACAAACACTGGATTAGTGCTGACAATAAAAATAAAAAACCCTGAAATGTTTATTTTGTGATTGTTTAGTGTTGTTCAATCAAATTAACTGATCATCTTGGCGATAAACATTCTTAAATATCATTTCATACCTTCTTGTATGATTATAGCTTTTACTGTTCACCACGCATAAACATATCACAGCTTCCAATACCCTTTACTGAGATATTATTTATAATGTTGTTTATTTTCCATCCTACTTCTTGGTATTTTTTCGCATTTTTTTTTGCTTTTTTGTGTTTTCTTTTTGTTGTTTTTGTTTTTTATATTTATATTTTGAAATACTCCTTTTAAATGTTTGATAAAATTAGATGCAATATTGTAGATAAGTGCTGAAAATTCCACACTGTACCACTAGTACTGTTTCTGGAATAAAACAAATTATTATTATTATTATTACTACGATGAGGACACCACTCATAGGACTATGTATACACTCTAACGTAACAAAAGGCCAAGAGACTATCAATTTTATAGTTGATGTAAATTTTTGCGTTACTGTTGACAAAAAATACAATCGTTTTTAAAATCCCAACTTGATTACTAGGTCTAGTTGGAACTTTGCTAATTTATGTGTATCAACTCAGACCGAACAACTACTGAGAATGTTATCAGTTGAAAAATATACCCCTTTGCTGAACGTATTTCTTATTCTCTGTGTACTACTCAAACGTTAATCAATAAATCGATAAATCAATAATAATGTATTATGTTTAGGATATATGGTAATATTTACTTACCTAAAATATTGAAAATTTGAATTTACTGGTTATGAAATGATTTACATATATATATATATATGTATATATGTACTTCGATAATAAATAAATAATTAATTAATTTAATGAATTATTCATTTAAAACCATGGTAATAATTAATCAACAGAGATTTTCTGTTATCTGTTTATCTCTTGGATCTGTTTCATTCAATGTTCAACAGACGAAAAGACGAATAACGCAATAATAATCTAGCATTACCTTTGTATTTCTTCATTTATAACTGATTTAAAATCTCCAATTATTATTGTCATTACTAACATCATTATTATTATTACTATTATCATTTTTTACAATTATTGTCTTTATGATTTGTATTCCGGTTGTTATTCGTATTCTATATTGTGTTCAGTGTTCAATATCACGATAAGTCATACACAAGATATATATATATATATATTTCCGCTAAAATCAAATACTATTATACAATGTATGCATATCTATCTGTGTATATCTACAGAATAGTTGCATATTATGTTATCACCTTTAAAATACTATGTCATTCAAAGGATTAGACAATGATAAATAAAAAAATGAGGGCAAATAATATTTCCAAGCAATATGATTGGTCGATGTGAAAGAGCCAATCAAATTGTAGATCCTTTTTTGTAGTTTTCTTTTTGTCAATTTGTAAATTAGAATACGGAGTCTAACTGTACATATATACGCACTCACATTAAAGTATACACATACTATTCATCAGCAGGGGAATGGATTTGTGTGTGTTTGTGATTTAATTAAATAATTATATATATATATATATATATATATATATATATATTTCTATGAGCAAAATGTCGTTCGTAAAAGGATTTCGCTTTGTTTATACTTTTAGCTCTATTCCAAACAGTAGGCTTTTCCTACAAATATGAAATATTCACTAATATAGTACAGTACACTATTGCATCTAACTTCCTCATTACAAGCGTAATAATTGTGTGAATTGTATACAAAGGAATTGCATACAAACATTATTCAAGAGGGCAAGGACTAGTTGCAACACTCCCACCTTAAAGAAAATTGAAGAAAGATATCTCATGGACGTCAATCTTCCAAAAGAATGGATATCCACGAAATTTTATCAAAAGATATATACCCTCAAGCCAACCTGTTAAACCAAAAGCCTCCATATATACAGGATATTTCAGAAATCAATGCAAGACTCATCAAACCTTTAGGAATTGAAGTCGTACACAAACCGACAAAATCACTTCACTCAGCTGACTGTATGTCAAACAAATGACTTAACAACGAAAGAAGATAAAATCTAGATCATCTACAAAATAAATTTTTACTACTGCGTAAAACACCACATTGGCCAAAGTGGAAGTCCCTCCTCTTCGTCTTCGTCTCCATGAACATGAACTAGCCATCAAGAGACAAGCCATCCACTCCCTCACATCACTGCATACTTACAACCTTGGACATCATTTATCAACGGATAACACAAGTGGTCAACGTTCAAGTCAAGGAAACAATCAATTCCAATACAAATAGCCTAGAAGGTGTGACAACGAACAAAAGCAACCAATCACGTTCAGGGTCACAAGAGTGATGACTAATAAACTCGTGAAGAAATCTAAAAGCTCACTTCAGTAAATTGAAGTATGCGCTGAAGACGCTGTCTAGTAGGGCGATGAAAGCTTCGCAAATTAACTATCCAGCTAGCTCAGTAGAACACAACCACGTCAAAATCATTCACACTGATAATATTGTTCGATAACAATATGCACATAAAATAAAAAAGTGATGAAAATATTAACAAAAACATAGTAATGAAAAAATAGCCGTTTACTTAAGGTTGTGTAACAAGTTAGTAATTTCCTCTTTGACAGTTTTCTCACCACATAAATATGTGCCAAATAAGGTATGGTAGAGTTTTTGTGCAAGGTCGTCCAAGCATACAGTATTTTATAGTTGGTTCTACTTCCCCTACCTGATGAGATTCAGTAAAGAGAGAGTTGTGCATGGAGAGGATTCTCAATATCTAACAAAATAATATTTGCTAATCCCCTGCATGAGTCCGTGGGATTTATCTGCAACTGCTTAAGCAACACCTCACTCGCCCCACTGACAGCTTTTAATGCCCTTCACAGTATAACAAAACAGTTATTCTTAAATGGCTCGGAAATGATTAACGTAGAGGGAGTGAATGAGGCAGCCGATAAGGAGAGGCAGAATACAACGACTCACAAACTTATTAAGTTGAGACTTCATGATACGACAGTGATATCATGTTAACTTCTTTACCCGGAACACTAAATAAAATACTTTTCTGAAAACTAACATTATGTGGTAAGATCAGGAAAGATCAGAGAGAATGAACAGTCCAAGGTACTTAATATTCGATTTTATTTCAACTTCTGTGCTATGGATGATAGCGGAACCGTGCGAACTTACCACTTCATGTAAGTCGCGCTTGCATCTCAAAAGGAAATTAACTACCTGATATTTCGAGTGATTTAGCTTACGACCATTCACTGTCTAGTTTCCAATAAAAATTTGTCCATTTTGGAACGATCTAACAGGGAAGTAACGGCCGGTATGGAAACAATCAGATCTTTGGGATACTTAACAAAAATTAGCTTCTGACAGAAAGGACCAAGTCATGTAAGAGAAAACAAAACAGCAAGGGGGGAAAGAAAGACATCTTGAGTGAGGAACACCAGCTAGAGTAAGTGAAGCTGTGGAGGACTTCCCGTTGTAAACAGTGTACTGCTTTCTATCGGAAAAGTGAGAAGGCAACCAATTACTAGTCTAGCACTCTGCTTGTGTCACAGAAAGCTTGTCTAACAAAAGAGGCCTCGGTACAGAGTTGAAGGCAGACGTTTATTCAAGGAAAGTACCCCAAATATACTTGGTACCTCTGTCTTAATGAAACGAAGTGATGAAAATATTAACTGACATCAGTTAACTGATGTCAGCTCATGATCAAATCCTCCATGCAATCAAACAAATATCCCTACAACAAACCAATACTTGAAAATATTAACGACAAATACGAATGAAATAAAGGCCGATTACATAGTGTTTCGCAGTAAGTTAAAAGTATCCTGCCTCACACTCATTTCATGACATGAAATGTGAACTGCATAAAGTACTGTACAATTTCCCACAATAAATTGTCCAAACATACAGACTTCAGTAGCTGCTTCTGGTTCTACTTGGTTAAGTGATGCAAGGAGAGCGTTGTTTATTAAGAAGGATGCTCAGGGTCTGACAAGATGCTATGATATTCTCTAATCCCTTGCATGAGTCCATGTATCCATCAACAACAGAATTCACGAGTTAGTTAAGCTACATTTCACTTGTCCTGTTGATAGTTTGAGTGACCTTGTGAGTGTGAAAATGTCTTTCTTAGGTAGTCCGGGAAAAATTAAGGTAGAGCAGTGACAGAGTAGCATCTGTAACAGTGGAACCAATGCACACCAACCATTTCATGTAATTTGCGGTTGCGTCTGAAATTGAAATGAACGATGCAATGTTACGAAATCGTAATGAGTACAGCTTTTATGTCTGTCAGTTAGTCGATCAATTATGTTCTGTTATTACTAAAATTAACTAATATTGTGGTGGCAGCTGTCTGCAAGCCAAAATTGTAGACAATAATTGACGTCAGTGTTTACGTCCCACATCGGGATCAGGAGAAAAGATAAAAACAAAGATTAACCTTCAGGAACTCGACAACCAATCACAGCAGACTTAAAGTGTGCCAATACGAATCGCAGACATATTGCTTAACTTTCTGAGAAACGGTCAGAAGCAGTACAGAATAACCTCCAGCAAGAAACAAACCAATCAGAAGAGATTGCTTCTCTCCTAACAATAACGCACTTAAAAATCTATAAATACCTCTTGATTTTCTCAATAAACGATCTATTGCATGGCCCTCGTCTTCTGTAGTTACAATATAGGTTTGCTTATTGTATACTGTATGTTTGATGTAAAACATTTTTATCAGGTGTTAATTTTCTGCACCTTTTGAGTAGTGTCCAAAATCTTATAGAAACGAATCGCTCTTATGAACCTAGATAACATCAGTCCTTCCATGTTAAACTAATAATAATAATATAATAATTTTTCCTTCACGTTCCCCAGTGGAACATAGGGCTTCAAGCTAGTGGCTTGAAGTTTCTGTAGCAGAGTTTTATTTTAGAGGATGGGGTTGCTAGCCCCATGCCCAACCTTTCCTCTTTACCAGGTTTTATTTCTGGCTTAGCGAGGTAAAGAAGTGCGTCGGCCGGGAATCGAACCCTGGACCATGTGCATGGTTGGCGAGCGTCCTAACCGCTATACCACCGACGCACTAGCATAGTCCTTATTAAATGGTTGGAAGGAATCCGAAGGAAGCTCAACCTGAGCTAGATTTCGTGCTACCTGGTACTCGAAAGTCAGCAAGGCGAATCTGCAGTCTTGATGTAACTCAGGTTTCCCTTTCTGAGGTTCGAACCCGAGTCACCCAGTGATGCAGTTGGCTGCTGACAGAATTCTGTCTCCACAGACGTTAACACTGAGCTGTTCAGTCTCGTGATCGACCTCCTATAGGACTGACTGTATTGTATACTTAGACTAGACACTAGTTAGTAACTAGTGGAATGCGTCTAGTCTTTTGTTCAATGCAGACTGAATTCCACCAATCAAGTTTCCAGTGTGTTCAGATGTGTTCCTTCATGGCTGCAGGTACACCCTGCTGACTGGTGATTGCCAGTTAACAAGAAACACGGGTCAGACTGGACTTCGCTACGATTGCCTTCGACCATCTAAGATCAACAATTGAAAGTGCAGCACACCGTGATATAGAGCCACTCAACGGAATGGAGGCCACATTGCAAAACGTGGCTGATTGAATTCAATCTGCAATACACAAGAGACTAAACACATTACACTAGTTGTTAATTAGTGTTCAATCAAATTAGCATAGTCCTTATTTCTACCTTAGCCATGTGCATTATTTTTTCGTTTTATTTATTTAGTCCACATATCCATACCTTATCATTTGGATCAGTATTATTACTATTAGTATTATGATTTTAACTTTGAATGATTTCCGGCATTATCTCATTTGATTTCCTTTATTTATTTATTTATTTCAATATGACCTGTGTTTGTATTGTTATCTAATGTAAAAATTTACATCTTGTTACGTGTGATTTTCTAATTTCCTATTAATCTTAATTAATTCTACACCCTTTCCTAAGATTCATATCTTCTCAACCATTGATTTGCAGAGATTTGATTGGCCGAGCTAGAAAATCAGTTGGAGAACTATTGGAAAGGCAGCAATGCAGCAGTGGATAGGTGTTTTAGCAACTTATAGCTCTTTGGGACTCTTTAATAGTTCACACCCACTGAATTGTCATAAGTTGGAATTCATGGACCATTGGGTTGAGTCGTGCCGGCTGAGTAGTCCACGAGCTCACCTTGTAACCGAAAAGTACTGGGTGGTAGGTGCGTACTGCCAATGAGTACCAGACTAAGCTGACGTATTTCGTC